AATGACAAAAATTTCAAAAGTCAAAAAACTTCCAAAGCAAACCTGCATATGGCAGTGGGTCAGGTTATATAAGTTAAGTCAGACAGATATAAATAGACATGGGCTTTATTATTACTACACTGGGGAGATTCACTTGTTACAGCAGCACAAAGGTCAGGAAGAAAAAGTGATAAGAAAAAGCACAGCAATGGACTTTCTTTAGTCTTTTTAATCAATACATAAAGGTAAGTTTGTACCAATGAAAGAGTATTCAGCTGACTGTTTCTGAATAACCAAATTTTAGTAATAAAACATTTCCAGTAAGCAGCTTCCATTTTATTTTACAGAGAGCTGGTACATCTTAATTTGCATGTGTAGTTATAAATAAAATGCTGAGACCTGCAGGTGCATGCAAGGCAGGAAGAGAGGGAGGAGTTGAGAGTTGACGCATCACTAACTGAGTGTGAAGATTTATCTGTAATTCTCGAACCAACATTTCAAACCAGTGACACTGTTTCTCTCTGTACTCAGGTAAAATTATGAAGTGATGCTCTCTAGTGTACAAATGCCTCACAGCATGCATTTCAGAATGTCTTTATGTTTTAATTATAACGAAAAACATTTAAAAAATGATGTGCTTATAAATGGATCGTTTTCCTCTGTGTGCCCCTCAGTGAAACGGTGAAATATTTTTTTTAATTTTAGAACAAGGAAACAGTGATTTTTAAACCAATGCTTTTATTGATTTAATGCATAACAACTGCAAATATCTGTTCATGAAAATGCAAATGAACAAATGATGTGAACCTTTTTCTTTATTCTGATTTCTAAAATATCAGCTTTGCAATAAGCAAACAGCACAAATAGTGAAAAAGCTGAATTTAAATGCATTAAAATTCTGGTCCTCGACTATTCAGTGGGACATTCTGACTTCTTGATGGTTTTCTCTGAAGTCTGTGAGCCCAAAGACACTTTACATGTATAAACCTTATTCATGTTCCAGTCTGATGTCTGGATGGTCAGAGAGCTGCTGATTTGGTAAGTCTGGTCTGGTCTCTGAACAGCAGTGCTGGTAGAGATCCCACTGCTCACTGGACTCCCAGCAGCCAACCAGCTCACATCTGCAAAAGACACAGACTGACTGGACAGACAGACCAGAGAAGCTGTGTTGGACTGGAGCTCAGCACTGGACGGAGGGAAGACTGTCAGGACAGGAGGAGAGACGCTGGAGCCTGAAAATACATGAAAGATGTTCAGGAAAAATAGAACTGAAGTAATAAAAGCAGAAGTGGTGAAAAAATCAACAAGATTTAATACAGAATAAAGATAAATGCCGTAAAAATCAAACAATGTAAACAGTTTATCTGTAAAAACAAATAAATAAACAGGTAATCACACATTTTCAACTGGTTTTAAAAACTGTCAAAAAAATAAAACAAAACTAAATTAAGCCCTAATTTTACATTAAAGAGAATTTAATTTAATTCTGGAGGATATGTCAAGCAATCATATGCTATACAATGCAAGTCATTCCCTTCAATTTAAAAGGTGACAGGTTTAAACCTAGATATTTTAAAATTTTGTACTTTACATTAATGTTTAAATTAGGTAAAACTCTTAATGAGAAAAGACAACATAGACTTATGCATTCTTTAAAAATTAAAATGCTTTGAAAATAACAAGATTGAATGACAAAATTTTTCACTTTTTCAGTAAACAACATTTTTTAAATTGATCGAAAACATTTCTTGATTTTAATACACCTCATGATCATGTCTAACGTATAAAATACGAGTTGGCTCTGCATCAGATACTATAAATATATAAAAAAAAGATTATGAACAATAAAAATATTTAATTAAGAACTTTTCAGTAAACTATCGGAAATCTTCTAATGTTTTAGGATCAATTTAAACAGCACTTACTTGTGACAATCAGCTTGGTGCCTTGTCCGAATACCACAGTGATTCAGTTTGTATACATGGCTGTACAAAAACCTCCTAACTGTTACTGATGAGGGGAGAGGAACTGAAACATCCTGTTTAGACCAACTTTTACTGTCAACATATTATGCGCCTCATCAGTCTGCTTATATTTCACAACAATGATATAATGTTTTCCAATATACTTTTTAATGATTAAAAATTCCTTAACCCTTTAAGACCTACCATAGAACCAAGTCTGCCAGAGCTTACTTTATATTTTTACATGCTGTAGTGTCATTTTTGGGAGCATTTCAAGTTGCTATACATCAACACAACTGTTATAGCCCATAGTTTTATTTTTGAGATACACCAATTTTTATATACTGCAGAAAAAACGAAAAACAATCCTATAATGCAAATTTGCAAAGAAAACAGCATATGCATCAAAATAA